CGGTCCCGAGGGAACGATAGGATATCGTTGCCGTTGAACATCACCATGAAGACGTCGACGGATGTCGCGCTCGATGTTATAAAAGACAACGATATGGCTACCTGGAAGGTCCATGAGATACCTGGCGATGTAGGGAGAGTCGCATAGGCTACTAGACCTGTCTAAGATGTTAAAACTACTGTACTTACCCTTCCATTCCTTTTTGTTCGGAGTACTTTTGCGGCGCTCTCGCTTACTTTCCCTGAGCGCACTATTCTGCCGGAGTATTTTCCGCAGTTATTGTAACATACGCAGTAGGCGCATATACCTCGTCCTTTGACGTTGTGTTTCATAAGACTTTTACTTGTATCAATATCTTTTGTTTGTCGGGAAACCAGCTACTTGTTTCGACTGAGTTCCTGGTTAATAGAGGGGTGATCGAATGCTGATTTGTTGTATCATCATGAGACTAACTTGATCATCTATGCATGCGTATGACCGGTATGCGATTTCATTGATCTCTCGCACCGAAAATGCGGGTTTGTTCCACCGTTGTGAACCGTGAATTAGTCAACGAGACCTAAGACATGACTGTTGCCATAGATACCGAGCTGTTATGCACGGTGTACGTTCACCGTACATTAATTTGCATATATTTCGAAATAAATTCTTTGACGTTTGGCGGGTTCAAGAACAGTTCAACATTGATGCCCGCCCAATCGTGACGCTCTCAGTCTATTCGTTCTGCGCAGTGGGGGATAATACGACCGTTCAACGTCAAAAATCTTCTATTGGTTGTCTCTCGCAGTATGTCCGAGTGACTTTGGCGTAAATTCCAATATGAATGCTCCTCGACTGCTAAGTTGGATTGAATCAGGACGAACTTCGGGAATGCGAGAAGGAAATGAAGCCTTTGGTATTCGAGGGTGAATGTTGAACCGTGAAAGCAACCGAGGTCGCGAACCCCAGAATTCGAAGTGACTTAATTTCTTCTTGCCTACAGGAATCGAACCCGGGACCAGTGTCTGACCAAGACGGTGACTTGTATTCCCCAGGTGCCCGCTACTGCATCCACTGCCTCTCGTGTAAGTTCGAGTCCATAAGTGAAGTAAGTTCCTACGTTCCCATTCGCCCTCCGCTCGCGATCACATTGAGAGTACTTTGGGGAGAGTCAGGCCAAGGGGGAAAGAATCCGTAGTCGTGTTAATAGAGGAGAAAGTACCTGTTTTGAAGCAATGAACCCGAAAGGATGTTCAACTTTGTCCTTTATAAGTAGGTGGAAGGTGAACCTTAAAGGTGTCCCTTCGTTGATGACGGCCGCCCTGTACCGTGATAGTTGATGACGCCGTGTGATCACTCGATGGTGATTTTGATGATGCTATCCCAGGATTTTAAACCTAGCTAAGATAAGAGCCTAGCACTGAAGTTTAATCCGAGAGAAATTCATGGATATTGGATTTACTGGTATAAATCCTGGAGTGAGAATGCGCTCAGAAATCATGGTTAAGTACTGGCCAAGTTCGGGGTAAAAGTAAGATGCAATTTGGACTTTGATTCTGTCGACTGTCTCCCGTTCAAATTTCGCAGGAGGAATTAATGTTTGACTTCGTGTGTCTGAGAAGCTATAGATGATACTGTCTCCTTGATTAGAAACCTAGCGGGAGATAGGGCAAAATTAGATGCACCTCTGGAAGCATGTCTTCATCTCCAAGGAGTCACACGACCCGCTACTTCCCGTTGGCACAGCTCTGTGGCTTCTTCGACTGGTCACTCTCTGAAGCTTCAATATGGTCCGTGAAAGCAAAGCTCAACGTTCTATTCGTAGTTATAGCTGCTGGGAAATAATCAAATCTCGCAGTCAGTATTGTGTATGGGCTTCGAAGCAGGAAACGGGTACCCCTGACCCGCCTGAGTCTGCGGTACTATTAGCGCTGATGACAGGTGATCGATTCGCGAAAGTGCACTTGCTATCTTTTGACGCATCGGAACCGCCGACCTGGTACCTTGAATATGCGCTCGTTGACGATCTCCTTTACTTCCATTTCTGGAAGAGCAAAGACCATTGCAATTTGGTCTAGAGATGAGAATTTGATACTCTCTTAGCCCTAGCACAATCCACCGGCTTCACCATTGAAGGGAATCCCGACGTAATTTCCTGTGGTCAGAAGTGCGGATCTAAATCCCATCTGTTATCATCCACCCATTTTCAATGATGGTTGCACTGTTTGCCCTGACATGAAATAGCTACTACTTACCAGGAGTGTACAGGCTACTTCTCCTATAGTGTGACATCCCTAAGCTGTCCGACTACAGCCTTTTCTTCGCGGTCGAGCCAGTTGATAGCAGATAATCCAATCGGAAAACGTGGCGAGTCGGTACCTCGTAAGGTTGGAAACTCGTCCCGGGCCGGTGGTGATTCAGGGATCGAATTCGGAACGGTATGCCGATGCCGCTCCATGCCGAATCAGCTGACTTTCGATCCAAACTCAACCTCCGTCGTCTTCAATGAATACCGCTTTTTCTCCCGTCATGTCTACGATGTCTTCATCGCCCGAAATTCTCTTGAAAGTTGAAGCTCTGCCTCTAATTTTGATGCTGCGCAGATGTACACATTTTGCCAGTGCCAGCTCAGAGGTCGAGCTGTGTCTGGTGGGTAATACTGTGGGCCTTCTTTCCTTGGCTAACGTTCCACAGAATATATTACCTGGCGGCGTGATCAAGTTGTACCTCATGGCGGACTATCGGATGCGTTCTTGACCGCGGTGCTCAAGGAAGCTCGGTCATCGTCCTACATAACATGTTCCGCCCGGACTTTATAACCCTAACCTTACCCGAGAGTAAGGTATATATTTTCATCAGTCTTGATTCCTTCTCATTCATTTATAAAGCTGCCCAGAATCATTCCAGATGCCACTATATATTACCAAGCCCAGCCGACACGCCCGCCACTCTCGCAATCCCAGTCGGGGATGACGAACCCTTGAGGAACTTGAGTCATCTGGCTGAGTCAGCAGATGACGAATTATTGCGAATCCCCGTAAACGCTGACAATAAAAGGAAAAGCGATGGATCTCTTATTTGCAAGACACTACGAGACCAACCCCCACTACTACTATTACCATGACGGTTGGACAGGATTCTCATCATGCGAATGGCGCCGGCCACGCTACCCACACGAACGGCTACACCAATAGCCACCAGGAGTCGAATGGACATGCAGTCTCGAAATCGCCGTTAAAGTCTGACGGATTCAGCACCCTCGCCATTCACGTTGGCTCCGAACCAGATCCCACCACTGGCGCTGTTATCCCGCCTATATCCCTATCTACGACATTCGCACAATCGTCTGTCGGAGTCCACAAGGGGTACGAGTACAGCCGTTCTGGAAATCCCAATCGTGATGCATTAGAAAAGCTCTTGGCGAACTTAGAGGCTGGGGGAGGCTCTGCCCTCACATTTGGCAGTGGAAGTGCTGCGACTGGGGCAGTACTCGCCATGATAGGGAAAGGAGGACATGTTCTCAGTGTGAACGATGTCTACGGCGGAACTTGGAGATACCTGAAGCGTGTCGCGGGAGAGCTGCAAGGCGTTGAGACGACGTTTGTCGATTTGGAAGAGGCTGCTGAGGAAGAGATCTACAACGCGATAAGAGATGATACCAAGGTATGTTCGTCCTTTATTCACCATTGAAACACGCTAACCTGTAAATACAGTTGATTTGGATCGAGACGCCTACGAATCCCACATTACGCGTGGTAGATATACCAGCGATAGTATCTATTGCTCGACGCCATCCTTCAAAACCGCTCGTTCTCGTCGACAATACATTCCTTTCTCCGTTCTACTCCTCTCCCCTCACCCTTGGAGCCGACCTCGTTCTTCATTCATTGACCAAGTATATCAACGGCCACTCAGACGTTGTCATGGGCGCCGTCATCGTACCTCCTCATCATACCCAGCTCATTGAACGGTTACGATTCCTCCAAAACGCCATGGGTGCTGTACCGAGTGCGTACGACAGTTGGCTAGCCCAGAGGGGCGCCAAGACACTAGGCGTGAGGATGCGCGCACACGGCGAGAACGCCCTGGCATTGGCGAAGGTCCTTCAGCAACGGCCAGAGGTCGAGGAGGTGATATACCCCGGTTTGGCTACCCACAAGCGAAATGCAGTCGCCTGGAGAGGTGTCAGTGCTCATGCGAAGAAGTGGATCAACCGGACAATAGATACCTCGGGAGATACGTTTGATTTCCCGTACGGAGGAATGATTTCGGTTCGGATTCGTGGTGGTTACCCCGCAGCGGGCCGGTTCTTGGAGCAGCTGAGACTGTTCACGTTGGCTGAGAGTTTGGGCGGTGTTGAGAGTTTGGCGGAGCATCCGGCTGGGATGACGCATTCTGGACTACCGGAGGAGCAGCGTCAGAAGCTTGGGATATCGGGTGGTTTGGTACGGTTGAGTGTTGGTATTGAGGATGGGGATGATCTCATCTTGGATGTTGTTAAGGCATTAGAGAAGAGCCAGTAATTGCATTGTTATTTTGTATCATAGATGTAGAACATAATAGGACCTTGTGGCCTTGTACAGTTGACTATTTTCTCGTTACTTAATAGTAACACTGATTGGCATAATGGGCAAGTGTGTCGAAGCTTCGGGACTGTGAGTTCGAACCTCGTAGTTCACGTTTAACAGCCATGCAGGGGTATACTTTTTGGAAGCTTTTTCATCTATTCTGGACACCTATTTAATTTAAATAACTTATTGGCGTTTCGGATTTCCTAACGAGGAGGTAAAGGACAATCCAACGGGGAAAGCAAGCGTCCAAGACAAGTACATAGTAACAATTTTTTGGTGTTGACTTCAACGATTCGAAAATTGAACATTCAGCACATTCAACGGACATAAGAAACGGGAAATCGCAGTAAGTAGGTTTTAACTTTTGGTTTTTTACTACTTAGTTGGTTTTTACTACTATTCAGCTGAAATAAGTAACAAAAGAATAGAAGGACCCCAGTGCATTGCGTATAGCAGCAACTTGTTTCGATCAAGTGACCTCGGGGTAACCTCTATGGGCCCCGCGCGCTACCACTGCGCCATGCTGCTTGTTGACAGAAGTGTACGGTGTAGATTATTCTGGTTTTACCATCTCTCCATCTTGAAGACGATTTACTCAACGCTCAGAGATGATAACAAAGCAGAACCCGAATATTAAAATTTAACAAATCAAGGTGCCTCGAGGACCGCCTGAAGGGTAAGGATCCTGCATTGCCTGTACATATGGGGTAAACTGAAAACGTGTATGACATATTTCTAAGGATTTGGTAAGGATCGCCAGCGACGTGGCGTGGCATGATCGTGCGTTCAACACCAATCTCTAATGAGGAGGTACTAGTGCCTTCTTATATTATAGTTCTATTCAACTAGGATAATGTACAAGTCCTTTCCATATTCTTTGGCCGCCTCTACCAGTGATCACTGAGGCGCTCATGCTAGATTGTGGAGTAATCGTGTTTCCGGGATGATACGGTAAGTGGCGGTAAATTACCGTATCAAAACCCCTCCCTCGCAGGGAGGTCGGTATAAAACCGTATCTTACACCCCCAGGGGTTTCGTGTAAACTTTGAAACCTAAGACTCTATACCTCAGTCTATAGCTGCTAGCTCGATGGTGGAGGTTAAAAAACACTAAATAAAACTCCCAGCGTACAAGGCACTACTAGGGTTCGAACCTGGGTTGTTGGAATTACGTAATCAAATCCAATGTACTGCCACTACACCCGGCATAGCGCCGTTTGGGCCATTCTCTCTCTGTAATATATCACATACCTAGTCAACCGTACTATTCTCTAGTCATTGTCAGAGATGACTTCGACCTACTCTGGCTTTGGAATCGACCACCATGCGGCTTCAATTTTATCACTCGCCCTCTTGTACCTCTGTACTTGCTTGATAAAATCTTGGCAACTATTTCACATCATTCTCGGCGCCTGCTGTTAGAATGACGCTTACCTTCAACTTGAGGTCTGCGATTATCTGTTTGCTTTGCTTATCGTCTTCGAATCCGCTGTGGCGTAAGCTACAGCTCCAAAAGAACTATTTTTTTCCGCCATGGTCTATGATTGGGTTATGATGCTCAACGCTGCCTACCCATCATCAGTCGATTTGGTGTCCGGAGTCCATTGGTTCTTGCTATCAGTCAGTACTCGACATAATGCCCGGCTTGTGTATCCCACTGATCTCTCGGCACCTGCTTTTTTCTGCGAATATTCGGCATTTCATTCTTTTCATGCTCGAGTCCCCCGAATGGCCTGGTCGTACAGCCCCTGTGAAAGGGCTCCCTCTCTGGGCATTCACTCACAAGCATGGCACGGTACGTTCCATTCACATCTGCCATCTGCGCGCTAGGCCAACTCGCCGAAACCACCGACCGAACCGATATCGCCGGCCTATCGAACTTTGATCTCGTGGATATCTCTGATACTCGTGACTGCTATAATTTTTTCAGCAGGCCTATCGCCTGCTGAAAACTCAGTTAAGCGAAGCCGGCGAGCCCAGTAGCCCTCTTCTCAGCTCGATTAGGTGCAGTGTCTCAGAAATGCAGGCACTGATTTCTATCTCCATTGTGATGATAGAAGACCTGCTAGGAGGTGGTGGTGAAACTGCACTTTTATCATATGGCTCCTACGGGCTCGAAGTACTGTTGTGAAATTCGGTCTCCGGATGGCTGGCATTCTCCTTGGTTGCTGGCTTTTTAAGATGTTGATCAACAAAGGAACTGGATACTGTTTTACCCTCCTCGTACCGTGTGCTTGCAATCCTGCTTTACTATGCCTGTGCATGGGTCTTTGTTATCGAAGAACAGTTGGGTCCATGGACGTTCATGGCGTGCAGATGAAATATGCTTTATGAAATTACACAACGTTGTCACGGTATACAAATGTATACATGCACGTAGGTCTTTCCTACGTATCGCGGTCTTCACATGAAGCTAATTTAATTTACGTAGACATTAGTACTAGTACTAATGCTGTAAGTATCCGCCCAGGCCACACGTTATCCGGTGCTGAACCCCATTCTTATAGCCTCCAAATGAAAACTTTTGGGCACTGTATTCTCCTTAGCAGGTATGACACAACATGCCTCTCCCGAAATGGTGAGCCTGTTTGCTTCTTTCGTAGTCATCCTGAATACAAGACCGCAAATCACCAGAACGATTAAACGGAACGTCGTCCGATAACGGACCACTGTACCATACTTTTATCTTTTCCGTATTGATCGCAAGGCGCGGAACAAAGCAACATCGCTGGCGGTCAAACATTCATTACTTATCACTCTAAACATATGTATCTATCCAAACTCAGGCTACAACTTTCAAAATGATTTCGATTGCGATTAAAACGCGTCCCATTGACTACTGAAGCCCACGTCTTAGTCATTGTGAAAGGAAGATCATCAGAGAGACCTTGAGGTGTACGGGGACGAGGTACTCTGTGGCGTACAGATCGGCTCCGCCCCCTGACAGGGGAACCGATGATAAGGCAAGACGAAACATCTTCCTCTTTTAAGCGTACTGATTTCTCAGATTATGACGCGTAAACGAGACCAGATGATGAAGAATATAATTACGAAAACTTCTGTAGGTAGCAACACTGATAAGTTATATAAATCAATATGCTGCTCCAGAGCAAAGCAAAGGTATCCAAAAATCTACAGCACATGACGAGGGGCAACGGAGGTCATTTCCGCTGCTTCCAAACTGTTAACCTCCTCCTTCCCCACATTCCTGCCTCTTGTCACGAGCTCGTGCGGAAGCTTTACCGCCCGGTCAATAGCCACAGGCAGACCGCGATGTCGTCCGCGAACCCTAGCAGCACGAGATATCAGCGACTTCTGTCCACAACAGGCATTGCCAGTGGAGATACGCACATCACCACGATAATGACCAACTTCGACAGCGGTCTCATTGCGCCAACGAATGACATATTATCCTGTATCCAACATCAAGATTGCATCACAATCGAGACTGGTGACAAAATTATACTGAAGGAAGCCCAAGGCTCAGCCCGATCCCACTGAATGCAGAGACAACCTCGAAAATGACTCGGAACAAATCAAACCACTTCTTATCCTCGTCCATAATGTTGCCTCGCTCGATAATGGTGACAAGAAGGATGCCCCAGAACAACCACCAGATATCTTCCGTGCCAATGAGAAATCTCTCTGTAGAGCCATCCTAGTAGACTCACCATCGGACATTTGTCTGCGCAAGTGCCACCCTAAGTATCTCGTCACACGTTGGCGAGGCTCCCTGCCCTTATGGTACACGAGTTCCTTGTGTTTGTGTTCAAATTCTTCCTCATCAAGAGGGGGGATTTCGAACACACCGAGCGATTTTTCTTCATATCTAATGTCGTGAACTTGTTAGCACTGTCCTTCGGCTATGCTAACACCTACATATTGGTCGTACGAATACTCATTGCGACCTAGAAAGAAATGGATTCAGGATTTACACCATCAATATCGGACGGGATTCTTACAGGATACACCTAAAACACCGTTAGATAGGTAGAACAGGTAGAAATAAGACGAAATATACTGCAATGTACATCAGTACCATATACAAGAATCTACGGGACGTCCAAATCAAATGAGTGAGCAATCACAGCCTAAACGTACTGGATGGCAGGGGCAACTGAAGCTAAAGGGACCATCGAAAATCCGGATGCGCGAGCAGCCAGTCCCTGGAACAAGCCCGATACAATCTTAACCCCAGTCGGCATAGTGTCATAAAACTCCAATCCGGTATCTGAACGTTCATCAGAACAATTGAACGAAAATACAAGACAGGCTGATCATACTCAACACCTCGAACGCAACCCATTCCACGAAACTATAATGGGAGGAGTGTCAGAAAGCGGACCTTGGGCCTGACGAAGAGACGCGGGTAACCTCATCAAGAGTAGAACAATCATCAAAAACCAAGTTTGATGACTGGGAAACCTAAGTGGAGATATTAGGATGTCCGTCTCTCTTCAAGCAGCACGAAGCGCGTTCATACAGGTAGAGATAGCACCTGTCATCGAAGTAAGCTATGTATGACCATACAGCTGAAGACTGGTTTACCGTCGAGGGTAATGGAGAAGGAAGTCCAATGCTTTATCAAGATCCGACCCTGGTTTAGTAAATTTGGAACATATCCATCTAGAAGACCATGTATTTACTCTCAGAAAATAAAGAAAAGATTGAATACTTGCATTATGAGTCGCATACTTATAGAAAATATGTAAGGAATCAGTACCAAGTCATCATTCAACTTCAGGAACTCACAATATAGGCTGTAGAAGAATCAGTACAGATAGTCAACGACACGGTTTTCATTTGTGAACTCACTAGGGCATGATTTCCTGCTAAGATGAGAAACATCAAAGCAACTGTATATTCTCGTTTCCCGTAAGAGTAAGCAATTGGATAGAAGTGGAAAGCTCACAGACGAAGAGATATGCGGTCTGAAAGGGCAACATCCCTCTGATAATGTGTAGTTAGCGCCCGGGGCATGCATGCGTGCGGCTCGACTCACAGATCAACTAGGGATAGACCACCCCCTGTGTAGGCAGCCATAACTTGGAAGAGGGAGAACCTAGGAAGGGTTCTCGTGAACACCGAGTGTAAAATACGCACGAAGTTCCATACCATGGCTTCTTGACGAGACGAGGCTGGGCCTCGAATACATTATCATATCTCGAAGTAATCGATAACCAAGGGGCAAATATGAGATAAGTGATAATCTGGGTTACCACGAAGTACTAGTTGGGGGTCAGAAAAAGTTCCTCTGATGTAGGCCGATGCGCGCACCGTGGGCACAAGATAACTGAGAACCTTCAACGCCCGATACTCAGCACCTCCAATCATCTCCAGCTCTCCGTTTGTCAACGTCTCGGTATTGAAGTTTGAATTCCGCCCAGCGTCTAGGTCAAAATTAAGCCATTTGGGTCTGCTAGCCCCAAAATTGGACTTGTATGGTATAATCATCTTGCGTTGGAACTTCCTATATGCACCTGGAATCGAGTTCTTCAACACTTTCTTGAAGAACTGTATGGGACCGGGCCCGTCCCTCCATAGTCCATGCATATTTCCAGATGTATCCCGGCCAGTTAGCACTGTCATGCATCTTGCCGAGAGCGGAATACCAGTGCGGACAACGCTCGTCCCTCTCTCGCGCATAGACGGAGTAATTGAAGTCGTGAGGTCAAAGTTTACGACGCGGTGGGCCGAGGCATGTTTCTGGACGGGCGAAAGGTGAAGGGTGGCTGCGCGGGACGATGAGGTGAACGTATGAACGTCGGAAAGCACGTTATCACCGTCGCCGTCCCCGTTTCTTTGTTCGTGCACGAGGGTCTGCGCCGTCTCGTCGGACATGGCTGCTGGAGACATAGTCTCCGCCGGCATGGGCCGATGGAAATCGAGCTGCGGGGCGTAGTTGCCGTTTACCGGAATAACATCCCGAGGCCTAAAGACGGCGACGGGAGAAGAAATGGAGGCAAGTAAAGCCTTGCGCGTAGGGAAGATATTCAATCGGTCTGGGAGATTTTTACAGTGTGTTCGAAAATAGTGTCTGTAGTGGTGTCAGGTAAATAGCATCGCAGCGAAGCTTGCTCACTTTCGCACCAGCACCATAATCCACGATACGGTCGTGATATCGCCCTGTATCCATAAGAATGTCATTACTATTCATCGACAAACTCACTCACCATCATCATCAACAAGTAGAGTATGACCTGTTGGGACATGGA